TGTGGTATGATAAAGATGCTGAGTTATCACGACATTGGCTCTGAAAATTGACAGTAGTAAGATAGTCATCTTCTCCTCCCATTTATTATTGCTCTCTGTGAAATTTTTTAACCAGGCCTATAACCTTACGCTTTAGCATGATGCAATCTCTATAAACTATTATACAAAATATATTTCTGATAATGCCCATTCCAGAAATAAAACTTGGATTAATATTTATTGAACACCTATCTGCGTCTAGTATTATATTAGTTCAATGGATACAAACAGAAATAAACCAAGGCCCTTGTCTCTGAGGACCTCATGTAGTAGTGGGATCTGATTTAGGAATATTCTGTAGTTGAGCTAAAAATGATAATGATGATAACTACTATTCTGTGATGCCAACATTTTACACATTGTTATGTTTACACATTCTGTATGAACATATGTACACATACTGTATACTGTCATCAATTCTTTTGATAATACTGTAATAAAATGTAACTTATTTGCAATTTAGTTAAATGACTTCTGTTTTATAAGTATACATGTTTTCTTTATTAATTGATCATTTAATGAAAATTTAGATTGTTTCTATATCTTAGCTATTATGAATAATGCTGCAATGAACATAGAAGAGACTCTAACTCATATATATATATATATATATATATATATATACATATATACATATATATATATATATGTCAGGATCTCACATGCACATACACAAACATGCACATACATACATATGTATACATGGATGTATATAAATGGTATATGATAATTCTATTTTTAATTTTTTGGAGAACTACTATACTGTTTTTCATAATGGCCAAATCATTTTACATTCCCACCAAAAGTGTATGCATCTTCACCGACCCTTTTTTGTTTTTGTTTTGATGATATGTATCTTAACAATTGCGAGGTGATATCTTATTGTGGTTTTGACTTGAATTCCCTGATCATTAGTGGTTGACCACCTTTTCATAGACCAGTTGGCCATTTTTATATCTTCTTTTGAGATCTGTTCAAATCCTTTTTAATTGTTCTAGTTTTACTTTTTATCTTTTTTTTTCTTTCTTTACTTCACTATTGAATTATAGAAGTTTCTTGTTTAATTTGGATATTAATCCTCTATCTGATACATGATTTGTAAATATTTTCCCCCATTCTGTAGGTTGCCCTTTCAGTCTGTTGATTGTTTTCTTTGCTGTACAGAAACTTTTTAATTTGATGTAGTATCACTTATGTTATTTTTCTTTTGTTTCCTGTGCTTTTGGTGTCATATGTAAGAAATCACTGCCAATTTCATGAAGCTTTTCACTTATGTTTTCTTTTAAGAATTTTAGTTTCAGTGTTATGTTTCAATCTTTATTTGATTTTTTGTATATAGTGTGAGATAAGGATATAGTTTTATTCTTTTGGATGTGGAGATTTAGTTTTCCCAACACCTTTTATTAGCTATTAAGAGAGACTTTTGCTATAGGGCACATGTGCTTGCCAGAGATACAAGGAGACAGAGAGAGAAAAAGTGAGAAATCACCCTCAGGGGGAATGACCATGCTGCAATTTCTTCTCCTCCATCCTCCTCTTGGATTTTGGGCATGCACGCACATGCACCCAATGTGAGTTTCAAGCTGCTGCAGCTGGGACTCAAACCATGGTCAGCCGTGGTCTAGTACCATAACCATTATGCCACCTGCTGGCTCCCCTTTTTATTGCAGTACTGTTTTTTCCTTTGAGAAGAAAAGAGTTCTGGGGCTAGTAGTTAGCATGGTAGTTAAGGCACCATACTCCCACATGGCTGACCATGGTTCAAGTCCCAGTGGCTTAAAAATTATGCCTGGTGTTGGGAACCAGCAGTTAGCGTAATGGCTATGTTGCTGGACTCCCACGTAGTCGACCGCGGTTCGCGTCCTGGACCCAGTGGCTTAAAACTCAAGCCGGGCGCGTGTGCGTGCATGCCCAAGATCCTGAAAGGAGAGTGGAGGAGAAGGGATTGTGGCGTGAACATCCCCTCTGGGGGGTGAATTCTTGCTTTCTGTCTCTATGTCTCTCTCTGTCTGTCTGGCGAGCGCACACGCCCTATAGCGAAAAAACCTCTAAAAAAAAAAATTATGCCTGGTGCATGTGCATATGTGCTTAAAATCCCAAGAGTAGAACGGAGGAGAAGTTGATTGCAGTGTGGTCATCCTCCCCAGGATCCATCTCTCTGTTTTCTCTCTCCAGCGAGTGTATGTGCCTTATAGCAAAAACTTAAACAAAAAGAAAAAGAAAGAAAGAAAGAAAAAGGAAAAAGACAGGAGTCCTACCATTTCAACATAGTTGAACTTGAATGATACTAAGCAGAATTTAAAAAGCTTATTACTGAAGGACAAATATAAATGATTCTTGTATTAAGTATCTGAAATAGTCAAATTCACAGAAACACAGAAAAGAATGGCATTATCAAGGACTGGGTGAAGGAAAACAGAGAGCTCCTCTCAACAGGTATAAGTTTCAGTTAAGCCAAATGAATAAATTTTACAGATCGGCTGTATAACATTGTGTCTATAGTTTAACATGGTGTGTATTGTAAACTTAAACATTTTTCAGAGAGTAGATGTCTTGTTTTCTTGTCATGAAACAAATTGATTACTTGATTCCCCTCATTCACTAAGACACTTATGCAGGGTCTTTGAAAAGTTAATGAAAAATACATATTATGAAAAAGCACCCATGAGTTTCAAAAATTTTTGCACCAGAATAAACCTATACATTCATCCCATTTTCCATGAACTTTTTGAAGTTTCCCCATATGAGAGATTGAACAAGAAATTAAACATCTGTCTGTTTCTGTTGAAGCAACCTATCTAATAATTGAATATACCTAAGAAAAATAAAGATATAGTCCTTAATAAGAACATAGAAGCCAAAAAGAACGTGCCAAAGAAACGATATGGTGTTGAAAAACTAATATTGCACAGTCTTCCAAGACCACAAGAGGAGGCAGTGGAGTGGCAAATACATTTCCTGCAAATACAAGAAAAACACAATTTACTGAAAAGATAGACTAGAGTCTGAAAGGCATTATCAGTGGCTAAAATACATTATTCCTGAGTTTCTCCCCTTTCAGAGCATCACAGGTTTTTTCTTTTTTTTTGGAGGTCACTGAGTCCATTGGTGTCTAACTTTTAAATACTAGCTACTTTGAAATATGGGTAGTATCTTTGGTTAGATATGAACTACGAGTTTACATAGAACAAGTAGAAATGTTCATTAGGTAAAGCAGAATAAGTTTTGCTTTATGTTTCTTACAGTTTTATAGTTTAAAGTAGAATATAAGGATAATTTTGATAGTCAAATTCATACATTTGTGTATCCAGTAGATGTCAGCATTGTGCTGTTTCTGATCCTCTAGTGGTCTCCATGTTATTTTGAAAGGGCCATAAATATTCAGTATGAAATATACTGAGATGTAAAATAGCAGGTGCAGCAAATCTGTGGTGAGGATACATTTAATGGGTGAAGGATTCAATATTCCATCTACTGAGCAAACAACTGTATATAAAAACCCCATCTGTAGCATTTTTATCCATGTCCATTTTGTAAAATCAATTTATTTAAAAATATCACTATACTATTTTGTAGAAGATAGCTTTATACAATTAAGTGGCAAAATGGATTAAGGCCATTGGCAGAAATGTAAATATTTGAGTAATTTTAGGTTGCCTCTGCTTAAATTCAGAAAGGGACACTGAAGGATTTTTTAAATTTCACTAGAATATAATTTCAACCTTCATGTTTTTGGCAAAATAGTTTTCAAGTTACTTCTTTTTCTCTATTTCCTCAATATTAAGATTTCAGCTACTTTGGAGCATATTAAAACTACTTTTAGAAATATACACACCAGTGAAGCCAAATGGAGGGTTGGTCAACATTAGTTGGAAGATAATCTGCATAGCTCATGCCTTCACTGGATTCTAAAGTTTACACAGTATTTTAGATTTTCAGCACATGGAATGCAAGTTTCCTAGAATATTGCTCAATTCTGTGTCTGAGCTAAGTAGATCAGGCCTTATGTCAAACTAAAATTGATTAAGAAGTCAAGACATTTTTGTTTCCTTAAAAGCAGACTCTTACTCATCCAGCTTTTGTCAATTTATTGCATGTAAATACATAGCAGCAAAAAAGATGAAAGCTGGAAAAAGCTAGAGAAATCATTCAGTATAGCACCTTCACATGGAAATTGAACATCAAAGAGGCAAAGAGTTTTGCTTGAGGTGTCAGAGCTAGGGTGTGAGCACATGAGTATCTTTTGAGTATTCTAGTTCATTTCAGAACAAAAAATATGAATTGAAAACATGAAAATTCTGTAGTAGATACTGAGAGAAGTTAAAAATTGTCCTTGCTCTCTGGGATCTTGGAAGATAGGATAATTGAGAAAAGAAAAACATTAATAGGATATCAAAGTATGTTTTAGAAACTTTAATGACAGAAATATGCTCAGAGTGTAGTTAAGGGACACTTAGTTTAGTTAGGGAAAGTTTTCCTGCTTTCTATAAAATGAGCTATTTCTTGCTTGAAAATTTCCAGGACCAATATTACTAAACTAGGGGGAGCAAAGAGCATCATTATTTGGTGGGACCTCAAATAGGTTCTGAAGTGTTGACTAATCAATCCACTGGAGTTTTGTGGGTTTTTCTCTCCTAAATTGAGGATCATTACTGTATAATATTTCCCAGGCACTGGTAAGTGTATCAGAATTATCTCAGAGATTAGGGTTCAGAAGATTGGGTAGCTTGAAGAAAAGCAAAAATAAAAATTACAACAATTTTGGGTCATGATCAAATTAAGGAACCACTGATTTGGCCTGCACTGAGTTACTTACATTGGTTTGTCTTTGGACCAATAATAGGATATCAGTCACTACGAGGAATGTAGTCTTTGGCCCTGTAAGAGAACCAAGTTAGATAGTTCATATAGAGATCAAAATCATAACTGTGTCTTCACTTATACTCTATTCTCACCCACAGAATTCTAAGGTCACTATGTATGATAACTACATCCAAAGTGAGTTTGTGGCTTGAGGCATAATATGTATATCTGATCATGTCAATATATTAAGACGACATTGAAAGTATGAACTACTTCAAAATAATTTAGGTGAGTTTCAATGATCATGCAATAGACTATTACTGGAAATGATGGTTTAGCAAATCTTTTCCTTGCCTTTTTTCTGAATGATGTGTAAGAATACCTCTTTTATGGGCACTATATAATATTTTCAACCGTCTTTTTTCATCTCTTTGGGACACTGCAGGGAAGCACATTAGGCCATAACTCAGTAGTAGAAGAAAATTCTGATGATGAACCTAGCTAGTTCAAAGCTCTTTGACATTAATCTGCCATATGCAATCACTGTGTGTGAGACTGAAAGTCATATTTCAGTTCTGTGTACCAGAACACAAACCCCTACCATACAATTCAGCCAAATCATTAGAGAGAGATTCCTCTTCAAATAATAAGTGTAGTACTACAGATATAGACAAATTTTGAGAATATAATTACCCAATTTCTCAGTTCATGGTGTCAGGATCAGTGATAAAAAATATTGGGTATTCCCTTGGATTTCTGTGAACTAGAATTGTTCACACAAGTGGAAAAATAAAATGTGCTTTAATATCTGAGTAGTTTTTCTTTGAATTAAGTAACAAACATTCTAAGTAACACCTTTGGTTTATATTCTGAACTTCCTTTTTCTACATGCAAAGAAGGATGGATGGGTGTAGGAATGGGAGATTGTTGTAGGGGTGGATTTCCTCACAGATCAGGCATAGTAGTCCTTAACCTTTGTTTCTGTAATAGTTTTTAGAAATAAAAGTCACATTTGAACCTGAATATGCTCATCTTAAGTATATTTCATTCTTTTTTTCAAATGTAATTCATACTGTTTAAATATATAAAGCATGGATTTTCTTTTTTTGGAGAGGTTTTTGCATAGGGCATGTGGGCTTGCCAGAAAGACAGAGAGAGACAGAGAGACAGAAAGTGAGAAATCAGCCCCCAGGGGGGATGGTCACGCTGCAATCCCTTCTCTTCCATTCTCCTCTTGGGATCTTGGGCACTCATGCACATGTGCCCGGTGTGAGTTTAAGCCACCAGGTCCAGGACTCGAACCGCGGTCGACTACATGGGAGTCCAGCGACATAGCCATTACGCTAACTGCTGGTTCTGAGCATGGACTTTCTTTACAGGATCTTTGCCCCTTTTCAAGAGGAATTATTTCAGCATGTTCATCAATCTTATTTTATTACTCTTGATCCTTTAACCTATTTTATCAGTCTGTTCCATTTGTCTACACTCTTTTTCTGCCATATAGTTAGGCATTTTCTTTTGTGTTGAAGATCCAAGGAATGGACAGGATATTGGAAAAAAAAAATTTGTTTCTTTCTCATAAGTATCGTAGAAATCAAATCTTTTCTTACTTGGGGCCATGTATTTTGGTTTCAATGGCTAGACTTTGATCACTGTACCTAATACGATCTCACTAATGGATATTGACTATGAAGTTGATTAAAATTATTGGCTCTAATGGACCACAATCTCATGAGGAGGATGCATATTTAGAGTTCAGTGAACTCTTTCTTGTTCCAAGACACAAATATCCTGGCGTCATGCTGCTACAGTGTCATCTCTAGGGCTAGTCTATTTTTGACTGTACCAAACTAGTCTCAGAAGATTTTAGTGTTATTTTTGCTGCATTTAACTGAGAAATGTGAGCACGTGTGTGTGAGTGTGTGTGTGTGTGTGTGTGTGTGTGTTTTCTAGATGGTTTAATATAAAAAAAAATTTTTGTCCTAAAAATGAGAATTATCTGCATACCTTTTAATTCACGATTAGTTTTTTCCTTTATTTTCTCTTCAGGCTGCCTGTCAGGACTTCAAAACCATCAACGACTGAGGATTTCTATACAGCTGCCTGGGCGACTGTGGTAATGAAATGTGAATGTGCTTTCACAATATCTGAAGGCTTCTGCTTGGGATTATAAGCAGAAAGAACGGCTTTTGAGGAAGATGTTGGCATATTCTTCAAATGTTGTTTCAAAAATGATGAAACAACATAATCTATTATTCTAGGGCTTTATTGGTTCTAACAACGAGATATCCTCCCATTAAAATTCTGTCTCTCTCTCCCCTCTCCCTCCTTTCTCTCTCTCTTTAGAGCTCATTATAACAGAAGTTAGGTGATCTAGCTCTCAAAGACAGCACAGTAATAAGCACCAAAGGGTTGTTCTCAAAGAAATGAGATACAGTCCTGCATGGGTGAAATGTTAAAGAAAAGAAAAAGCCTTTTTTGTATTTTTCTTACACATAGACTCATGATTTAAAGTGATTTAGAAATTATTTTCTGTCATTTGAACTAGACAGTTCATGTCTCCACTGAGTTTACATATTGCCAATTATTTTTGTATCATATTAATCAGAACATAAGATAATTATTCTTTAAAAATGATTTAGAGTCTACATAAAATCAATGCAGTCAGATTCTGATTTTATTATTTTCCTGAAAGACACAGAGCAGATGATTTTATTTCATTTATTAAATCAAAACTTAACCATTGCCAGTCATCTAAGGAGAAATGAGTGACAAATAATGTTTAGAGGTACAAACTCTGTCTCAAGCCTAAGGCAGTGATGTGTGTGGACTGCTCTCAGACTCCAGCCAGGGAACATGCTAGAGGCCCAAATGTCACTGCTGGAAAAATACAATATATTCCAGAGTCAGTCATTTGGGGTCCTGAGGCTGCCAAGAACATGCCACATCAATTAGCATACATAATGTTCCATCATGGAAGAGGTGTAAGGGATCAGCATTCATACCCACCAGAAACAAAAGGAGATGGCACTTTATAAATATTTTATACATATTTTAGAGACCATAACTGGGGCATCCAGTTAATGAGATATTTGTCAAGAACCATAATGAGAGGTAACTAAAACTACTTCACCTCAAATCACCACAATCCTTTGAAGTGAATATCTATACATCTTCATATATTAACCTTCCAGGAAAATTGCATCAAAATATAACTTTACAGAAAACATGGCCAAAAGCTGTGTTAAGAAGTAGATTTCTTGCATCTTTTTCCCCTTTACACTAAAACTTCATAGTTTCTCAGAACACTTGACAATATGATTGTAGAACAATACTGTATTTCTGTTTACCCTAAAATGTAAAGGTCTCCTCTGTATTTCTACCTCAACCTTTCAGCCTCAAGCTTGATTCCAGACAGGTAATTCTGAATATGCCTATCTTTTCAAAAGTGAAATTTTATAAAATCCTGGATTTCTCTTAACTAGGAATAATAGCAATGACTTTCTCCATTTAATATGAGGTTTTACTATTTTGATTATTTTGGTTTATGTGAGTATGTATATCAAATTTAAAGGACCTCCTAACCCCAGAGAAATTTCCAAGAATGTAACTTAAAATAAAAGAGTTCATATGACTGGCTTCTACCAGCAAATACTGTAATTCAACACTTCATGAAACAGCACACTTGAAATGTGAATTCTTAAATTTTTGGAAACACTGAAGAGAATAGATAACAATGCTTCCTCAAAGACCTTCAAATAGAACTACCATATGATCCAGCAATTCCACTCCTGGGTATCTACCCAAAGGACAGGAGAGCACTCAGTTGGAAAAGCGCTTGCACACCTATATTCATTGCAGCTTTATTCACAATTGCTAAGACATGGAACCAAACCAAATGTCCACAAACAGATGAATGGATTGAAAAATTGTGGTATATATACTCCATGGAATACTATTCAGCCATAAAAAACAATAAGGCCCTGGAATTTGATAGAAAGTGGACAAATATAGAAGATTTGTTGCTGAGTGAAGCAAGTCAGGGTGTGAAACAGAGACATTGCATATCTCCACTTAACATATACCGACTGTCTGCACTCTATGGTAGAGACTAAAAGACTGGAGAACATTAAAGTATTAAAAACTGTAATGGACACTAGAGATAAATTGGAAAGAGAGTGTGAGAGGGGAAGGTATAAGAAATTTGGGGTGAAAATGGAGAGGTAAGACACTTGTGGGACACAGATAAGGTTTATTATCTGTTGACAAGGATGGGTTTGGTGGTTTCAACTGGGCTGGACTGAGGTGTATATCATGCTGGGCAAAGTCTCTTTACAATCTAAATGATGTATAGCAATTTAATGTATGAATAATAATAAAATTTATAAATTTATAAATAAATGAAATAATAATAATAAAACGCTTCTGCTGAAAGGTCCAAGGATTCAAGAGTGATTGGTTTCTCAGGAGGGACCTCAGGAAACGGAAAAAGGGAAGAAAAGCAAACATGACTTCATCAACACTTGGGCAATGCTTTGGGCAATTACCACTTTGGGCAACGCTACCTAAGCCCATCTGGGGAGCTCTTGGCGACACTGTGAAATATGCATTCCAGAGTTACTTCTCTAATGCAATCTCCACCAGTCATTGTTATTGGCTATTAGAAAGTGTTTTTAGAAAGTGTGTCAGTTGTAGTAAATGCTGAGGGCATGTGGGAGGACTGACAGCATCCACTACACTGGGTCAGGGAGATAAGGTTCTAAGATCTTGGAACCATATCAGTTTGGCAGCATAATGAAATAGTATCTTATACTGAGGTTAAGTCTTTAAGACAGATTGCAAGGCAAATGTTACAAGAAGCAAAATTACCTTTGGAAATACATTAGGAAGATGTCATTTTGGAGGCTGACATACAGTTTCTCAATAGATCCAACTTCTAGGGTTATTTTCAGTATTGGAACAGAGCATAGTTTTTGCAGTTGGGCATCAGAAGTGGTTGGCTTGTATTTAGGGGCAATGTTGTATGCAAAAAATACTATATTTAAACATTGGAATCACATTCATTTTTTGAGAGGCAATGAGACCTGAGACTGAGGAAACACTGTAACTCTTGTTTTCACAGTTAATGTAGGCTTGTACTCCTCGAAGGGAAGGGCGAATAGAATTACTTGCACTATTTAACTTCTTTCTATTTCTTTCTCCTTTGTACTTAAGTTAATTATATGCAACTTATATATTTATCGAATATGACTCCATTTATTTATATAGACCAAAGTTAACACAATCATCAATGGGCCCACTTTTTAACTGTATTTGAGAAGGCTTGTTTGCTTGGGAAATGGAATGGATTCTAAGGACCTTTACTCGCAATTGATTAAACTTTTTAAATGATTGACACAGTAAGTTCAGGAACGAAACCCAAAGTGAAAAAATTAGCTACCTAAAAGTGAACAATACACTACAAACTCTACTCTTAGTGGTAAAGCAGTAGGATTAGAAATTTCAGCAATGCAGCTCTATAGTAAAATGTGGGAATAATTGCAGATCTTAGTCCAAATTTTATTTCCACAAACAGAGATTAAGGAAAAAACAGATTGAGAGGGAAAAGGTAGGAACAGAGAAAAAAGGCAATGCAAATACACTGATCCACACGTTGCTCACTGGTATTGCCATTTAGATTTCCCAGGAGATACATTTTTCTCCAATAACCTGCTAATCACCTCCAAATTCTGTGTTCTTACCATGGAATTTCTGTTGTATCATTTTTTGATCTGAGTTCCAGGTGGATCATAGTTGAAATGTATGCTCCATAGAAGCTGATAAAGATTTGTTATGTTCATCTTGGCATCCCCAGTGCCTAGAGCCCTGTTTGAACAGTGTGTGATTCATATGTGAGTTTTTTCCTTTTTCCTAGAAGGCTTGTGCACTCTCCAGAGACAGACAGAGAGAGGGGAAAAGGAGAAAGCACTTCCATGGGGAAGGGTCACACCATAATTCTCTCTCTATCTCTCCCTCAGGATTTTGGGCACTCATGCACATGTGTCAGGCCTGTTTCTTAAGTTGCTGGTTTTGTCACTTGAACCAAAGTGAGGTGCAGTTGGCCGTGTGGGATCCTGCTGCCTTAACCATTATGCCATGTAGCCAGCCCAACCACACTTTTTAAAAAATGAATGGTGTTGGGCAGGCAGATAGCATGGTGGATAAAGGCACTGGATTCCCGCATGACTGACTGCAGTTTGAATCTGGGCTTGTTTTCTTGCTTTCCCTTTCTCTTTCTCTCTCTGGTCAAATTAAAATATAGTAATAACAAATGGAATAAAATAAGATAAATAATTCTTGCAATAAAAAGAATGATGGCTGGTGTATTTAGGTGATTTGCTTTCTGGTATTTAGCAAAATTTCCCGATTTTAGGACCTGGAGATGGTGTAATGTTTAAGTCTCTGAGCTCCCACCTAGTAGACTGCAGTTTGAGTCCCAAACCCAGGACTTAAAACTAATGCTGGGTGCATATGCATGCGTACCTAAGAACCCAAGAAAAGAATGGAGGAGAAGGGATTGAAGTGTGGCTATCACCCCCGGGGTAATTTCTTACTTTCTGTTTCTCTGTGTCTCTGGAGAGCAATGTGCCCTATAGCAAAAATCCCTCTCTCAAAAAAAAAAAAAAAAAAAAAGTATTTCCTGGTTTCTAAGTTTTAGGAGCCCCATAGAAAAGACTTTGAAACTCATCCAGAGGACTGGATAAGTTAAATTAAATTAGATTAACAGGGAGAGGGAAAGCCTAATGGTAAATAGATTTATAGATGGTTATGGTGAGAAATGTTCCCATGAATGAAAATAAATGTGATTCAATGGGTCAAATTCAGCAGCAATATTGAGTAAGAAGGACTGTAGTTCTTTAATAGTGTGAGTCAGTATTTGAAGATATCTCTGATACCCCAGGCATACTTCAACACCTCTTTTCTCTGTGCCACTTCCTTTTGTGTGTGTGTGTGTGATATATATATATATGTTTTTAATAAGTATTGTATTATTATTATTTTTTGTGGGCCTAGCTTTTATTTTTAGACTCTAAGACAACTGCTCCAGATCCTAGGCTCAAGGGAGAGAGGTAACAG